AACGGGACAAAAAAAACTAAGAACCGGAACTAACTCGCATGGCCAAGGTTCTGGTTCAACAAACCGGCGAAATGCGTGCCGGGACGGCTGGCCATGTCTATGAACGTGTAACTTACTACAGCCAAGTTCAGAAAGGTTTAATTCGTTCATCGATTTTGCTATGGAGCCAACATTTGGCTCTATAGTGGAGTCAACCTTCTATATACAACAAGTAAACCTACCATATATTTTGATTACTTAAATAACACTAATATAATTTTATTAATATGGTATGATTTACTTGTTATATATAGAAAGTTGACTCGACTATAGAGCCAATTGTTGGCTTCATAGCAAAATCGATTCATTCATTAGCAAAAAGTACTTCAATATAAATGAAATAAATAAGAGCCCATTTTATGATATGCAACAAAAACAAAAAAAATCTTTAAAGTGGATAACACATGTAAATACTCTTTCGGACAATGTTATTAAATTATAATCAATTTTTTGTGCATTTATGGAAATAATAACTTCTTGCGTTACTTCAATGTGCGTTTGATTTATTTACTTATTCATTTATTTATTTATTTATTTATTTATTCATTTTTTGGTAATACTCCTAATTCATGACATCATTTCTTAACTAAATTAGTACTATAAAATAAGTTATTTTGAAGATACATTTTTTTATGTTGTGAGTCAAATACATAGAAATTGGACTCTTTGAAAATACAACATACGAGACGGTCAACGTTATAACATTAATTTTGTTTCTCATCATCCCAACCGCATTTTTTATTTTTATTTTTTTTATTTTCTAATTAAGCGGCTCAAATTAAAACTGCCATTTTTTTCTAATTAAGCGGCCAAAATTAAACTCTATCGCTAGACTGCCATTTTTCATCATAACCGAGCAGCAGTTTAATAATTATGTCCTCAACCACCCATTACGGACAAAACGGTCCAACTTATCGTCCCACTTTATTTTTTTAAAAAAAAAATATATATATAAAGCGATTGAGAGATGCTACGGTTCCGTTAAGACCATTTCGTCAATGTTTGTAACCGTTAGTTTAGTTATTCCCGACAATTACATAATGATCTAACAGTTACAAACCCCGACAGAATAGTTCCGTAACGGAACCGTAGCATTTCTTAAAACTATTATATTATACTTTATAAATGTAAGTATAAAATTTATGTATATATATCTATCTAAGAGCTATAGTTTACTAATAGTTAAGGGTGTGATTGGATATATACTTGACAACTAAAAATTCAATTGAAATTTAACTGTAATCTAACCATGCTATTCTCAGTATTGTGAATATAATTAAAAAATATCAACTAATTTGTACCCAAAAAAAAATATCAACTAATTGTTCTTACACATCACATCAATTTTAATTCATTATTCATTCACTCACGTAATTTTAACTAATTATCACTTTTAATTATTTTTCTTCTACATTTACATCAAACCAACTTTAATTATTTAATTTTAAATATTATTTCAATTCAAACTTCGATTCTCACTAACAACTAGTCATACCATATTTTTCAAAATTAATTATGGTGTACAAATGTCCTATCGTTATGAAAAAAAAAAACTATGGTTAACAAAAAAAAAAATCAATTAAATCCGTATCCAATTGCACACTAATTATTTGACAATTGAAATTCTTAATAGTATCTGTCACCTCTAAAAAAATCCTAAACAATTTTTAAAAAGCAATAATTAAGAAGGTGGTTTATTGAGTTTTTCCTAAGCTAAACATTTAGTTCTTTTATTTTTTTTACGAATTCAAAAGTTAAAAAGAAAAAAAAAAAAAAGAACTATTTTTTAGCATATTTAATAAAAAATAAAAGTCATGCACGGAATAGATTGATACGAATTGGAAACTAATTCCACCTGTAATTAATTACATTAACTTTAATCAGTGCAGCAAAAATTAATTCTATCTCTTATTTTTAATATATGTCGTTTTGAAAAGTTGCACACTAATTAAGAATATTTATTTTATCAATAATAATCTTATTTAATGAACATAGAGATGAATGTTGTGAGAAAAAATGAAGAGTAAATATGAAAATAAATAATGTATTTATTGGCTAAATAAAGATAATAATAAAAAAAATATGTACAAAAAATTTAAAACGACATTTATTTGTCAAATAATTAAAAAAACTAGAATGACATAAAAAAAATAGGAGCGAGTATAAATAAATTTCCTTTTAAAAAAGGGATAATAAATTAATTAATTTTAAATAATATCATGAACCAATGAAACACCTACAACTCACCTGCAAAACGAGCAGCGGATACGCCGAGATTCCCTGCGAATAATCCACAGCCGGGATCAGCCGCCGGAGCTCCAAAGTCGGCGCGAAGTCTCCGTAATCCGCCACGGCACCGTCGGATTCGGCCTCCACAAACAGCACGCCCTCGGCGTTGCAGTCGATCTCGATTCGGCCGTCCTCGTCCCGCCTCAGCCTCCCGGCCATGGGGTAGAACGGCACCAGGGCGCGGCCGAGCGCCGCCTTGAGCACGGCGGCGTCGAAGAAGTCCGCCGCGCCGGTGGGGAGGTAGAAGTAGACGCTGGGCGTGTGGAAGTTGGGGACCACCAGGTCGACGTTCGAGTTCCACAGGCCGCCGGACGGCGTCGCCGCCGCCGGTCGGACCATGGTCGAGGCCTTCACGGCGATCTTCATGGTGATTTATTTAAGAGAGGACAAAATGATGAAAAGGGATAAAATGCTTGATGCGGAGGCGGAGGAGAGTGGTGAATCACGGCGGTGATAGTGGTGGTGGTTTAATTGATAATCTAATATTTGGGTGGTCATTATATAAATTTGGGGGCCTCACCAACCCCGCCTGATTTCGTAAATAGGATTTTCCACTTTTAGGACACGTTTATTTGGGGGACTAAATGGACAATTTTCTTTCGTGCTCCAAGATTGCATTGTTGAGACAATTTGACAGCTATGTTTGAAGGACAATGCTACACGTACCGCAACTTGTACCGCAGGGTTTACACTTTGGTTGAAAAACGTATTCTCAGAATACGTTTTTCAAATAATTTAATTGAAAAACGTATTCTCAGAATACGTTTTCAATGAAGGGTACACCATGCGGTACAACCCCTGCGGTACAAATAGCATTTTCCATGTTTGAAATGAAAATTGCTCAAGATAGTATTTTCATAACTTTTTGTGTTCCACATTTGTTTTTCTAATATGGTAGTAAATGAACTTTACCCGGCTCTTTCAACTCGAACAGCTTCCGTACCTGCAAGAACCCAATACCGTCGGTCCCAGCGTCGGGCCTCCGATGCATAAATAGCACTTGCTCCAGATCAAGAGTGCAAAAATGAAAGTATTTTAGAGAGAATGAGGTTTTAGGATATCTTAGCTAGTGTTGTAAACGAACTGAACTGAACCGAGCTTGGACTGTTCGAGCTCGTGTTCGTTTATGTTCGAACAGTGTTCGTGTTCGTTCGTTTATTTTTCAAGCAAAACATCGTGTTCGAGCTCGTTCGTTCGAGTTATATTAAATTTTAGATACTTTATTAAAAATATTATGCAAATATATAAAAAAATAAAATAAAATTATATTAAATTAATGTTCGCGAACATAATCGAATTTTCACGAACGAGCTCGTGTTCGTTCGATTATTAAACGAGCCTAACTTTCTGTTCGAACTCGGCTCGATTAACAAATGAACTAGCTTTTGTCGAACACGAACGAGCTCGAACGAGCTTTTGTAAAAATAAGATAAAACTGGGGAGTGTGACGTGACGAAGCAGATCGGGACTTTCAGGATATTCATATATATGTTTGGACTGTATAACTATAACTTACGCTTCCGCTTACATTTTGACGATCTTTTGATGACGTTTTGATATATTTTGACGAACTCAGCGTATTTTGACGAACTTTTCAGAAAATAAAGTTTTTAATAACCGGACGTTTTTATTAAATTAAAACAACGGTTTTCTAAAGTAAAGTAACGATTTTTCACGGTAGCACCCCAAATCAGTTTCGCAAAGTAAAAATGTTTCAGTTTTCAAAGACTTTGCGAATTATTGCGCTACTCTGATTTTACAGTAAGGTGGGGTGTTACAATTGGTATTCGTTTATAGCTCTAATCTTAACTCTCCCCCCCCTCCCTTTTATAGAAAGAGTGTACCTTAGAGCCCAAATTGGGCTTGACCCATACCATTATGCCATGTGTCATTGCCCACATGTGAACTTATTATCCAATATATTCTTTCTTATTCATTAAAGTCGGTCTAAAATATCTCATATATCATCTAGTCCTCCCACTCTAGTCGAGTAAGCATGACTCTATTAAAGAGTGAAATGCCTCTTTGGGATGTTTCCGTCAACCTGCCGCTGAGGTTATAATTTGAATAAATTTTCAACCACTAAATAGTCACCAAACCTCCAAATGAGCACTGGGACCCAAATGAACGTCGAGTGACCACAGAGGTCGTGAACCGAAACACCTGCCTCTGAGATCGAACATCGAGTGACCCGCCACTTGCGTGGAACACCGAAAGCCAAATGACCACGGAGGTCGAAATCCAGTGACCCGCCACTGGGCATCGAAAGCCAAATGACCACTGAGGTCGAAAATAGAGTGACCCGTCACTGGGGTAAAAAACCGAACAATCTGCCGTTGAGGTCAAAGATCGAATGACCTTCTACTGAAGTCGAAAACCAAATGGTCACCCATGAAGTCTTGAATTTGAAAATTTTTAACTTACGCCTATTGTCTTTCGACCACTATGTTTGAGCTCTTCTTCGCTCAAAGATAAACCTTTTCGACCGCATCGTCTTGTTGCCCCTCAGTTCAAAGCATAAAATTCAACCGTGTCGTTTCCACTTTCGAAAACCTAATGTCCTGACGTCACCTTCATGTCGAAAGATTGAACTCGACAAAACCAAACGCAATAAAACCATCGACCTGAATGACCTGACAATGTGAATTGCTCCAAGTGAATCCGTCGATCTAACACCAAGGTCGAAAAATAAATTCTACAAAACCAAAATCAAGTAAACAATTATCTACCTGCCTCCGACGTCAGCTAATAGTCTCCATGAATTGCACCAAATGAACTCCATCGACCTGCCACTGAGGTTAATAAACAAATTCTTAAAAACCAAAATCTAGTAAAAGACCATCGATCTGCCTCCAAGGTTAGCCAATAGTCTCCATGAATTGCTCCAAATAAACTCCATCAACCTGCCACTGAGGTCGAGAAACAAGTTTGACAAACTAAAATTAAGTAACAAACCATTGATCTACCTCCGAGGTCTCCAATAAGGTCTGTGAATTGCTCTAAATGAACTCCATCGACCTGCCACTGAGGTCGAAAACAAATTTTACAAAACAAAAATCAAGTAAGAACCATCGACCTATTTGAGGTCTTTGTCCTCCCTGTCTTCAACGACTCAACACTAGGATCGACCACCCAACCCAAAAGTCTTAGTCATGATGAATTTTGTTCTTTCGGCACTTGCCCACCCCAAACAGCTTGTACCAAAACAAGCGACCACCTAGCTTGAAGGCCTTAGTCATGGGTTGTGAACCATTATTCTTGTTTCGCAAGTAACTGATAGTATGATATTCGGTTCGCCCGATAACGACCCACACTATCTAATGCAAAACAACAAAACATAGAACTTGTTTAATCTAATATGTTTCTCATTCATAAAGGGTAAAAGTATAATATCATCCAAAGTCAAGCTTTCAGTATATAACACTAACAATCTCCCACTTATACTTAAAGCTTCTGCTTTTACAAGTATAGTCCTATCAACCCGTTATTCTAAAAGACCTATGTCGATCCAGTCGCCATGCACTTGACTCTCATTCCTATCACGTGTTTGACGAAGATCTTCTCCGACAAACTCTTCGTGAAAGGGATCAGCTAGGTTGTCCTCAGATGCAATCTTGGCAACATCAACGTCTTCTCTATCAACTATCTCCCGAATCAGATGGTACTTGCGCTCTATGTGTTTGCTTGCTCTGTGGGCTCGTGGTTCCCTTGAGTTTGCTACTGCTCCACTGTTATCACAGTACATGGTGATACCACGTGGCAAACTCGGAATCACTTCTAAGTCTACTAAGAAGTTTTTGAGACAAACTGCGTCTTTCGCTTCTGACACTGCTATGTACTCAGCTTCCATGGTAGAGTCTTTCACGCATTTATGCTTAGCACTCCTCCATGAAATGGCTCTACCTCCCAAGGTAAACACATAACCAGAGGTTGATTTACTTTCGTCCCTATCTGACTGAAAATCGGAATCACTGTAACCCAGAGGTAACAAGCTGTCTTCACGGTAAACTAACATGTACTCCTTAGTCTTTCTCAAGTACTTGAGTATATGCTTCACGCAGACCAATGTTGCCTACCCGGATTACTTTGATATCTAGTTACTAAACTAACGGCGTAGCTGATATCCAGTCTAGTACACAGCATTGCATACATAAGATTTCCTACTGTCGATGCATAAGGAACTGTCTTCATGTCCTCTATCTCTTGAGACGTCTTAAGAGACATCTCTTTAGAGAGAGGGATTCCTTTCCTGAAAGGTAAAGTACCTTTCTTGGAATCATGCATGATGAACCTAGCCAAGACAGTATCTATGTATGAAGACTGGGATAAGTACAACATTCTCTTCTTACGGTCTCGATTGACCGTAATACCAAGAATGTGTCTTGCTTCTCTTAGGTCCTTCATATCCAACTGCTTAGACAACCATACCTTTACGTCTGGCAACTCTTTCTTATTGTTTCCAATAAGAAGTATGTCATCTATGTACAACACAAGACACACCACCACGCTCCAACTGATTTTGTTGTACACGCTGTGCTCATCCGGACATTGAGAAAACCCGTACAACTGGATCACCTCATCGAACCGAATGTTCCAAGATCTCGAAGCTTGCTTAGTCCATAAATGGACCGATTAAGCTTACACACTAGATGCTCACGACCTTTAGCAATAAATCCCTATGTTTGTTGCATATAGATGTCTTACTGAAGGTCCCTATTAAGAAAAGTCGTCTTGACATCCATCTGCCAGACCTCATAATCCATATGAGCGGCTACAACTAAGAGAATCCGAATGGAATTAAGCATAGCTACTGGCGAAAAGGTCTCATCATAGTTTATACCCTCAATCTGGGTATAACCTTTTGCAACAAGTCTAGCTTTGAAAGTTTTCACCTCACCATCCGATACTCTCTTTCTCTTATAGATCCACTTACATCTAATGGGTCGTACCCCATCGGGTGGTTCTACAAGATCCCAGACCTGATTAGAGTCCATTGACCCCATTTCAGCATTCATTGCAACATTCCATGAATCTGAATCTTTATCTTGGAGTGCCTCATTGTAGGTTCTTGGGTCTGATTCTAGGTTTCTTGGAACTGAGCCTGAAGACTCTCTAAGTCCTATCCATCGGTCGAGTAACTAAGAAACCCTCCCACTATGACGAGGTACTGTCTGCACTGGTACACTCTCAGTGTTACGTGTTGCAGTATTATGTGATGTATCTACTTGCACACTCGGTGGGGAACTATCGACTTCACCCCTTAACTCCTCTAAGACTAGTCTACTCGTGGGCTTATGATTCATAATATAGTCTTTTTACAAGAATCTAGTGTTTGTGCTAACGATCACCTTCTGATCCTCAGAACT